CAGGGACCGCCTTCGCCTTCCCTCAGGGACCGCCTTTGCCTTCCCTCAGGGACCGCCTTTGCCTTCCCTCAGGGACCGCCTTTGCCTTCCCTCAGGGACCGCCTTTGCCTTCCCTCAGGGAGGGTCTTCATGTGCCCTCAGGGACCAAACTGCGTTCCTTAAACTGTCCAGGAAAAACATATCCCCTCACACGTTTGGCAAAATTCCACAGGCTTTTTATCCATCTAGGCCCCAAACAGCACATCCCTGGGCATGCGGAGAGTTTGGCCAAAATCGCTCTTTTCGGAGTGATTTTGAACTAGCAAACGTTTGAAGCCCCGGTTATTATATCTATGATGTTACTAGATCCCTGATATTATTATATTCCTGATATTAATACATCCCTGATATTATTGCATCCCTGATATTAATACATCCCTGATATCATTACATCTCTGATATTATTATATTCCTGATATTATTACCTCCCTGCTATCATTCTACCCCTGCTATTCCATATCTGATATTACTGACAGCATTAAACACCTGATTGTACAGATACGCCCGTCAGAATACAGAATATCCCGGTGAAACCATCCATGTGAAATCCACTAATAAAGTGGATTTTGGCCATTACCCAGCAGGAAACAGGTCCAGCCCTATCTTTATGGCAACATTTGGGATATCTTATAAAGATATTGACACAAACAACACGGGGAAATTGCAGCTGCCACGAGGCCAAAATTGTCTCGGTGGCCGGGAAGAGGAAAGAAAACAGAAATTCAAGTTGTGGCAATAAAATCCAGTTGCATTAGCATGAGATTTAAATCCCAAAACAAGCCTCTGTTGTCAGTAGCAACATTCCCAGCTCCAAGTTTTCAGAACTGACATTTTCTTATCGGCCACGAGGTTGTGTTAAATAAATAACTAAATGCTCCTGTTATGCTCTGAATGTCCCAGCTCACACCTCTGATTTAGAGGAGCACAAAGCAGGATTCACTGAAGAAATATTTTAAAATATTTTAAAATATTTTACAAACACAGCTCCCTGGAGCCTCCCACTTCACTCCACAAAATCCACATCATCCAATCACTAAGATCACAAAAAATGCCACTTCAGAACAAGGCAACTCATTCCTCGGACTCTGTTAATTAAAAATTATTTCATTGAGAGCTTGAATTTAATCAAATTAGAAATAAAAGACCTAAAAATCCAAGTGTGGAATCTTTTGGAAGCTGCTCCACTGCAACCCCCATCACCTGCCCGTGCAGTGTTAATTTGTTATGCAACGCTGGATCGATTGTTCTGTCTGGACAACCATGAATATAAATCACAAATAGAAAATCACAAATAGAAAATCACAAATAGAAAATCACAAATAGAAAATCACAAATAGAAAATCACAAATAGAAA